CCCGGTGGGCCATAGCCACCCTCGCAGGGGCTAAGCCCCCGACTCATTTTGTTCCCACGCTCCCCATTGAGCCTCTTGTGATTCTGTCACTTTCGTGATCCCTGCCCTCCCTCCCACGGCCCCACCCCTCCTGGTCTTGGTTCCCTGCCTCACCCCAGCCCCCCCAGGCTAATTTGTTACAAGGGTTCCTTTGGGGAGGGTATATAACCTTGGCTGATCTATAGGAATAGTGTATCTCCTTATAAGGCTCATGGCGGGGGGGGGGGGTGGCAGGGGGAGGAACAGCGGGTGAGGGAGGTGGGCGGGTGGTCCTAGCTCTCAGAAGCTACTGTGGGAGGGGCATGCTTCCATACAAGGTTTGTGGGCAAGGCAGTTCCTGAGCCTCACCTTCTAGGGTTTGTCTGGGACCACCCCATCTCCCTCCTTGGGGTTGAGCTGCAGGTTCCCTCTGCCCCACAGAAGGATCCAGAGAACTTGGATTATGAGGATCTCTTCCGTTACGCCAATGCATTGACTGAGGAAGTTGCCAGCCCCGCCCATGTCCCCAGGGAACATCAGAATCCTTCCTCCTGTCCCAGGGCTGCACCTGAGGAGGTATGTGACTGAAAGCTGGCACCTCCAACACAGGGGAGGGGCAGGAGCGGAGGTGGCCAGCAGCTGCCAGAGGAGACTTTCTAGAGTGAAAATTAGATCCTACAGCTCCCAGTATAAAACCTTCCAGTGATTTTTCAAGATACTGCAATTAAAATCCCAACTGTGACCTCAGCTACTCCTCGTGCTCATCACCAGTCCACCTCCAGCCCCTCTGCTATCCTTTCTGTTGTTCACATACATCAAGCTAGCCTCAGGACCTTTGCATATGCTGGTCCCTCCTCAGGACCTTTGCACATGTTGGTGCCACCCACCTCAGGGCCTTTGCACATGCTGTGTGTGCTCTGCCCCCGGATTTCCTATGCCTGGCTTCTTTCTTCAATTCTTCAAGTGTCTCCCTCCCCAGACTGAAAGTCGTCCCCTCTGCATTCTCCATCACCTCACCCTGTTTATTCACTGCAGGGCACGCCTCACAACTTAAAAAGTCTTTTTGTGGGTTAAAAGTTTATGTGCGGGTTTTCACGTTTCCTGTCTGCCTCCCCTATCAGACTGTGAGCTCTGGGAGGCCTGGGGATCTGTCTGGCTTGTTCGCCCTATCTTGTTCATCTGTCTGCCTCTCCTCCCCTCAGAGAAGACCTGGCACAGAGCAAGTGCTCAGTGAATGAGTCTGTGGAGTAGATGAGTGAATAAATTAATGAATCCCACCTTCTCAGGGCTGATTGGACCTTCCGGAATCCCTAGGCTAAGTGTCCTCCGTGGCCCTCACATGGCAGGGAAGTTCTGACAATAGTGGAAGTGAAACGGGCTGGTAGGATGAACAATGTGGGTGTGGGGCTAAGCGGTGAAGGGAACAGGGAAGACCTGGAGGAGGTGGCATGGACCTGGGACACGGAGGTTAAGGAGGAGTCCGTCCCACACAGAGATGCAGGGAGGGTGTTTCAGGCAGAGAAAAGAGCACATGCAAAGGTCCTGAGGCTCAGTGTATTTGGAAAACAAAAGAAGAACAAAAGCCAGTGTGTGGATGGAGTGGGGTGAATCAAAGGGAGGTCGTTGGGAGGTGAGGGGCCAGGATCAGCAGGAGCCAATCATGCAGGGCCTTGGGGCAAGGTGAGGAGCTGGCGTTCTATGCCAGGTGGGCAGGGGGAGTCGCCATGAGGGAGCCCGTGGCTGCCAGCTGCAGGAGGCGCTGCCCGGCGGCAGTGGCACAGGTGACAGGAAAGAGGCAGGGAGTCCAAGTGGGAGGGACCAGAAAAGGATCTCTGGGGGTGGAGCAAGAAGAGGATATTTGAGACATTTTAGAAGGGAGCCTGCTGATGGCTGGGAGGTGGGGGTGAGAGGAAGCCAGGTGTTGTCATGGTTTGAGTCCCTGGGCCCTCCATTATTAGAGAGGTGATCCCAGGATGTGCCACTAAGGGAGCGGGGAAGTGGGACGGGAGAGGGCAGCCCGTGAAGGGTGTGTTAGGGAGCAGGTTCCCCTGTGGGCAACCAGGGCTTGGTCTCCCTCGGGAAGGCTGGGACTCTGCGTGGGACATACACTTTAGTTATCCCACCTTAGGGTTGAGGAGTTGGGGTATTGATCCTCCATCTTCCATTAGGCCTTGGTCAAGTGCTGTTCCTGGGAGATTTTAATTCTCTGGCACTTCTGGCCTGCCATGGGTCCAGAGAAGGACCCCGGGCAGAGTCCCCACTGCTGGCATTTGGGAGCGGAGCTGGGGGGGCACTGAGCGGTCAGGGCAAAGGAATATGGATGGGGCATTGTCGGCATCTGCCCCAAATGTCACCTGAACAGCCAAGTAGATCAGGGCCCGAGGACCACATCTGGCCTGTTTCTGTATGGCCCACAAGCTAAGCAGCTTTTATGTTTTTGAGTGGTTGAAAAAAATAAAAATAAAAGTAATATTTCAGGACCCGTGAAAATCAGATGAAAGTCGGATTTCCACGTCCATAAAGTTTTATTGGAACTCAGGCACACTCACTCGTTGATGTACGATCTCTGTTGTTTTACAGCAGAGACTGTATGACCAACAAACCTGAAAAGATTTGCTCTCTGGCACTTTATGAAAAGAGTTTGCCAATCCCTGGGGGAGATAGTGAAGCTGTTCATGGGGATGGGGAGGGGGCATGGGATCAGGTTTGGGGGCTCACCTGGGGTCCTTCTCACCCTCCAGATGTCTGAATGGGACCCACGTCCCAACCTCCAGGGCAGATTCAGAGCTTTGGTGGGTGGGACGGCCCCAGGTCTCACCCGCTCTGGGTTTCAGACCTCAGCGAGGCCGGTCCTGCTCCATCACCCAAGAGGAAGGAAGCCACCAGCAGAGATGGACAGAGCTTCCACGGAGGAAGCCACTTCCTCCTGCCCCCCAAAAGCTCCTCTTGAGAAGGCTTGCCAGAAACTCTGGAAGAACCTCAAGATGCTCCCCCAGACAGGCAAGAGGGTCCAGCAGCAGTTGACATCCCACCTGCCTTCTACGAACTTGTCATCGCTCTGGAGTGCTGGGCCACCGGCAGTGACACACAGCTCGGGGGCCAGGCCAGGTGACGCACACTGGGAAGATAATGTCGACACAGACCGCTCTGTGGCCATGTCCCTTGCAAGCCCCTCGCAGCCCCAGGATCTGAGAGGCAGAGCTGACCCCTCCAGAAAGGTCTCAAGATTGGCCAGCTGGAGCGAGGCGACCCCGAGGGTCAAGGGTTGGCACCAAGCAGTAGGGAGGGTCCTGTCCCCAAAAGTGTCCAAACCAGAGACAAAGGACTTGGCAGAACCCCAGAAGGACTGGCTCCCCGAGGAGTACCGCCCACCGCCACCCTTCGCCCCTGGGTACTGTTAGAGAAGAGCTCTGCCCTGGCTCTGGGGGCTGCTCACACTGGACCCCTTATTGTCTACCCACCAGTCCTCAGGAACCTGAGAAATGTAATAAAGACGTTGCTTGGGTCTGGTCCTACAATTGCCGATCGGGTGACCTGGTTATGTGAATAATAATTATCAGTTACAGCAAGGGTCTCGGGCACCTACTGTGCCAGGCCCCATGCCAAAGCCTCCAAGTTCACTATTTCTGTTACCCCTCTGAGCAGGCCCAGTAGATAGGCTCATGCTGCATACTTTAAAGAAGAGACTAAGGGTCAGAGAGGAGGAGAGGCATGGCCAAGGTCACCCAGCTAGAGGGTGTCAGTGCCAGGATTTGAAACCCGGTCAGTTGGAGCTCTTTGGCCACATGCTCTGCACCTGGCTCAAGTCTAAGTACATCCTTGCCTATAAACAGAGCTGTTCACACCTTCCTCCTGGGGTTCTCCCACAAATGAGGGAGGTGAGACTTGGAGAGGGCTTGGCACACTCGCGACACCAACTTCAAAAGCATGGGAGCCCCTTTAAAGAAAGAGAGGCAGCCCAGGGTCATGGTTAGCAGTGGGTTCTGGGGGAAACCCCAGGTCACATGGCCGTGTGACCTCTAGCGAGTCACTAGGCCTCTCTAGGCTTGTTTTCTCACCTGGAAAGTGGGAAGAAGAGCAGCTCGTCTTTCTCAGGATGAACCAACTGGATGCACATAAAACCTGAGGCTTTGGCTCACAGTAGGTGCTTAATAAGTGGAGGTTAGGGTGGGAGTGGGTGCTCTAGAAATGATGCACAGTGGAGGTATCTGGGAAGGTGCCTGGCAGCTAGTTTCGATTGCAGGAATGACCACTCCCTGGACTGACTGGACCTATAGATGGGCCCCAGGCTGACCACAGGTGGAGTGGGTGTGGGGCTTCTCAAATCTGCAAGGTGTAGATGTCTGGGATCTGGAAAGAGGTGGGCCTGGGCTCAAGGCTGCCTTTGCAGATGACATGAGGTATGGCCTTGGGCAAATCACTCTGTTCCCTCTGAAGTGTGATTGCTTCTCACTCACCCCACTGGGATGCCATAGGCAGCCAATGCAATGGCAGAGAGGTGCTTCATAAACTGTAAAGTACAGTGCCAGCCTCAGTGAATGACATTGCTGCCCCCTCCCTCAGAGGCCTCCTCTGGCTGTGCTAATGAATGAGCACGGAGTCAAAGCTTGGTCCCCGTGAGCAGCTCAAGATCACATGGGCCTGATCTCCACATCTGGTCTCTGTCCACCAAAACTCATTGCTACCAAGGCACTTCCAGCCCTCACGGTGGACAGAGATCTAGAAGTCAGCCACTTCCTTGTATAAATGGGGAGATCATGGCTCACAGAGGGTGCAGCCACACCCAGGGTCACACAGTGAGGGCAGAGTTGAGATCCCAGGCTTCCTCTCTCCCATCTGGCAGGTTTACCGTGAAACACACGTCCTCCAAGCAGATGTGACTCAGTGACGTGTGTTTATTCCCAGAACCCAGGGAGACCGGATTCCAGAGCGGAGTGAGGGGTCACCCCGTTCTCCTCTGACCCGGCTTCTCCGTGGTGTGCTCAGATGCGGATGTGGAAGGTGCTGTGTGCAAAAAGAAATGGAGTCAGTCATCAGGCAGAGAGGGTGGCCTTCCTTCGTCCCCGCCCCACCTTCCTGAACTCTCCTGCAGTGAGCCCCTGAGACAGGCAAGGAACCACAGGGGGAGATGGATCCCCTCAAGAACCCCAAGCTGTGGCCCCCCCTGGTCCCCACAGGGGTGGAAAGCACACCTCTTTGGATCTGAGTTGACACTCCGGCTCCACCCCAGACTTGCTGTGGGACTCTAAGTGAGTGCGTACCCCTTCCCGGGCTTCAGTTTACTCCTCTGTAAAATGGGGACAATAGCCATCCTTCCTGCATGGGGCTGTAGTGAGGGCTAAGGGGGCTAATGCACAGGGTGCTGTCGGCCAGAGATGCTGTCCTCGGTAGGGTTCATTCAGTTGTCGTTATTCATGTCTCTGCCTGCTAGGAGACCAGCCACGCTTCTCCAGGGAGAGGAGGGGGGCCCTCTGTGCACGTCAGGATGCCACCCATAATAACACCCACAACAGCAACCCCAGCACACAGATACTGAGCAGCTACTGTGTGCCAGGCGCTGCTCTAAAGTCTTTCCATGTACTAACTCGGGGGTCAGCCAACTTCTCCTGTAAAGAGCCAAATGGTTGATATGTCCAACTTTGTGCAAGGACTCAGCTGGGCCTTGTAGCTCGAAAGCAACCATGGCTAATACATACACAAGCAGGCATGGCTGTATGCCAATAAAATCACCGATGGACACAGAAATTTGAATTTCACATCCACTTCATGTGTCATGGAGTATTATTGGTCTTTAGTCTGTTCCCCGCCATTTAAGAAATGTAAAAACCATTCTTAGCCCACAGGAGGTACAAAAACAGGTGGCTGGCCACCCCCTGTATTAACTCGCTATCAGCCCGACTGTGGGGGCTCTGATTCTCCCCAGGACTGCCAAGTACAGTTGTACACCCTGTTCACTGCAAAATGTTCAGGCAAGAGAGGGCTGAAGACCAGCCATGTTCCATTCACCCAAAGAGCTGCGTCCACCCAAAGGGGTTGCCCATGGGGTCCCCAATTATCCCCATTCTAAAGATGCAGAGACTGAGGCCAGGAAGGCTGGGAAAGTTATCTAAGGTCACAAATGAATGAACAGAGGAACTTTCACAAACGGAGCCTGCGAACTAGTTCTGTAGGAGCTGCGCTCAGACATGAAAATGGATTGTGCAAAGTGGCGAGGAGTGTCACACCTGAGGAAGTCGGGTGCCCGCAGGATCATGTTCTGGAAGTCTTCCAGGGAGAGCCGCCCATCATGGTCGCCATCGGCCTCATCTAGCACCTTCTCACACACCAGGCTCACCTCCTCAGCGCTCAGCTCCCCCCGCGTCAGCTTGGTCACTGTCTGCTCCAGGTCCCATGCACAAATGTAGCCGTCATTGTTAAAGTCTGTGCAGTGGGGTGGAGGGGATGTGGAGTGGGGGCACAGCGGGGCACAGGCAGGCTGGGCCTCTTGTCCCCATGTTACAGAGGAGGAAACTGAGGCACCGGAGAGATCCCAAGACCCCGGGGTAATGGCTGGGTCTTGCTTTGGAATTGGGCAGAGTCCGGCTGGGAGGTCATTCATTCACTCCACCAGTATTTATTGAGCACCTACTATGTGCCAGGCATATGTGACTGTTTCTCATCTATTCATTCAACAAGGATTTAGGGAGCGCCTACTATGTTCCAGGCACTGTGATAAAGTTTCGTTCATTTGACAGGTTTTTAGTGAGCACCTATTGTGTGCCAGGTGCTGTGATAAATTTTCATTCATTCGGTCAGTCAACAAGTGTTTATTGAGCACCTCCTTTTTGCCAGGCATGAGAGACAGATGGGGAAGGAAACAGGTAGTGTTGCTGCCCTCGGGTCTCATCAGAGATAATAAGAAATGAACGGATTATGAACAGAAATTAAGCAGCAGTGCTGCGTGCTGGGAGAGAACTGGGATGTGAGGTGGAGAGTGATGGAGGGTGGAAGCTGCTTTTGACCTAGACTTCAAGGTGAGCAGGAGTCAAGGGAAAGGTATTCCAGGCAGAGGGCACAGCAGAGGAGAAGGCCCGGAGGGAGTTAAGAGTTTGGTGTGCTGGAGTCAGAGGGAGGCCCGTGCGGCTGGAAAGAAGTGAGTGAGGGGATGAGGTCAGCAAGTACCAAGGTGGGGCGAAGCCCCCGGGGAAGACATCTGTGACGGCAGGGCAGCCCCTGGCCCCAGGCCTGGTCTTGTTTTCACTCCCCACCCCACCCCAGCCCACGCTCCCCCACCCCGGAGCCCTGCACGCACCATAAATTTTAAAAGCATAGTAGGCTTTGAGGTCGCGGGGAGCCATTTCGCTCATCACGGAAAACATGTCCAGGAAGTTGTCCAAGGTCATGTGCCCGTCCCCGTCCTCAGAGAACACCTGGGCAATCCTCTGGCGGAACGGGTTGTCCTGGGGACAGGAAGCAGAGAGGCCATCCCGGACCGGGGACTCAGGGCTCCATATGGAATCGCTCTCCGCACCCACCTTCCTGAAACCTTCAAGTACCCACCCCCCGCTTCAAACTTCCTCCCGCCCATGGTCCCGGGACAGGACTCCAGACAACTCTCGCTGCCCGTGTGGTCTGGGTGGCCGTGACCCCGCTTCTGGCTCCAGCTGCAGCCACGTGACCTGGTTGAGGCCCATCAGAGATCGCTCTCGATTGGCAACCGCGATCGGCTCTGGGGTAGGCAGGGTGACTCAAACTGGCCAATCAGAGGCTGCCCTTATGGCGACGGAGGGGCCTGCTTTACCCTGGTTGCCGAGCTGACAGGAGTCTGGGACCGCTGGGGCAGCCCCTTCGGACAGGCTGTCTGAGACCGAAGCCCCTTCCTGCCAAGGGGGAGCTGAGAGATGGAGGGAGACTCCTGAGCTCATCCACAGAAACCCTGCTTCCAGCCGTACCTGGCGCTAGCTCTGCACCCTGGAGTTTTTCCTCCTATGTTCCAATACATTTTGTCCCTCTCGAATGAGGTTTCTGTCCCTTGTGATAAAATAATGTCTGCTCAGTCACTCACCCCACAAGTCCCCTTTGGCAACACAAACTATGTGACGAACATCCAACTGAGAAGAACCTGCCTTTTTAGCGGCTCCTGCTATGAAAAGCAGAACTCACATTCCCTGAGTACCTGCCATGCAGGAGGCCCTGTGCCAAGCCCTTTACCTGCATTATCTCATGCCAGCGTTCCAACAACCCCGGCTTTGATTCCTGTCTCGGTCACAGCCTAGCTGTGTGACCATGACCAAGTGTCTTAAGCTCTCTGAACCTCACTTCTTTCATCTGTAAAATGCATCCACTTCATAGGAAGCAGGGGACATCCCTACTATTTTTTTCCCTGCCTGCCCCAAGGCCCCACACATACCTTCAGCTCGGGCATGCTGCTGATGAGCTCGTAGGGCACCTTCACATCAGGACAGCTGGTATAGTCGAGGGGGACAAGCTGGGGAGCCAGGTCCTGGTAGCGATAGAAGAGCCTGGGGCAGAGGGGGAAACACCGGGAAGAGCTGGCAGATGGGATGGGGAGGACTTGTCCCGTTTCTCTCATTCTTGCAGCTGCTCACTACACATGGAAGGATCGTGGGTCCTCAAGAGTCATCAGCCCTGGGCCCCGTCCTCAAGCACACAGAGCCAAACATGGGCACGTCTACCCTCTGGGGGCAGGGCCAAAGTGGAGAGAGGGCCCCAGGGCTAGGGGAGACTCGAGTGGGGACATTGATACTGGGCTTTGAAGAGTGAGTAGGAGCTGACCAGGTAGGTGGCAATGGCAAAAGGGAGTGTGCTTAAGGTAAGATCATTTTACATCAAACATTCAGAGAATCCGAGTGAATCTCTGAATCTCTGGATATCCATCACATTGTTGGCCTCTGACTCTAAAGACCCCCCATTCTCACATTTTCCTTCTCTCACCCCATAAGGCGAGCGTTCCCTAAATGGGGCAGAGGAGAGACAAAAGGCCAATATTCAGGGTTTTTAATGCATGCAGGGCATTTTGCAAAACACCAAATGCCACCGACACCACCTAGATGGTGAGGCCAGCTCTCCACTCCAATGTCCCCACCTGCTGATGCCCTATCTTCACTGGGGGCATGAGAAGCACAGCCTTGTAGAGGGCATCCTTGGTGAGTCAGAGGTCCCCAAGCTGCTAGGGGCTGTTTCCGAGGAAAATGGGAGCCCCTGGGTCATATGATGGCTAGGAACTCAAGGAGCGGGTATCTGGAATTTCAGTCCTGACCACCCAGGTCCCTGTCTGGGCCCCCTCAGGGAATAGCCTGGGTTTGGGCTTCTGTATGGCCTTGAGCATGTCCCTCTTCCCCTCTAAGCTTGTTATTCTGCTGACAAACAAGAAGCTCAGGACCGACGAAATGTCAGCCCTCAGACTCCTTGGAGCTCTGCCCATCTGCAGAGCTGAGGTCAGCCTCCCCTGCCCAAGCCTCAGTTTCCCCATCAGTAATCTGATCGTGATGGCCAGGGTGACCCTATGAGCTGTCCTCACCCAGACAATGGGGCTCACTGGTGAAAGGTGTGCCCATCAATAATGGATATCCCGTGCCCATACAATTGGGGCCTTGGCCCCTATCACTCTATATCTGAACCCCGGCCAGCTTGGGTTTCACACCTCCAAGTTCATGGGTCAGGGCCTCTGGACAATGGCCCCATGGGCTGAGCAGTAATGTGGGATACCCCACTATGCCTCTCTCGCTCATGCCAGTGACCCGCAGCAGCCGCAGCCTGCCTACCCGCACCCTTACCTTGATGCCACCCCCACAACCCAGAGCTGACTCTAGCCTCTGCCCCCCGGTGCCCAGCCTCCAGTCCCAGCCTCTTCACACTGGCCTCAGGGGGATCTTTTTAACATGCTGATCTGTCTCCCCCACCACACACACACACCCCTCTCCCCGCTCACAGACTCTCCATGGCTCCGCACAACCCTTGGGAGAAAGCCCAGGCTAATCAACCTAGAGACCGTGACAATATGACAAGATGTGGCTTCTCAGCCTCCCCATCTCTGCCTCCATCCACTGACCGTGCCCGCAATCCCTCCCTTTGTGTTTTAACCACCACGCGGCACTCAGTCCTGTCCAATTGCAAACATCCTCCAACAATGGAGAGAAAGTTATTACCAGGTCTTCCTCCCTTTCTGCCCAGACTGACCTCATGATTTCCTTCCTTGTGAAGAAGGTGCAGTCCTGCGGAGAGAGATGTTGGCTTGGCCCAGAGCCTGCCTCAGGGGCCTCCTCCCTCTCCCTCCCACTGCATGCCCATCCCTGCCTGATGCTGCACACAGAGCTGCACCAGGAACCCTTGCCAACTGCACACCCTGGACAAATGGTGCTGTCCCCACCTCTCAGGCAGGGAAACCAAGGCTGCCGAACCTGCCTATCACCCCTACCTGATATGCTTCCAGCTGCTCATGAGTGAAGACTGTCTGCTTGTTGCCCATGGTGAAGACCACTGCCAGGAGTCTGGGACAAGCTCCCAAAGCCCCCAGTCTCCTCAGGACCACACAGGTTGCCAAGCTGCAGCACACCAGCGTCTGGGCAAATGTCCCTGCCCTGGCTGTCACCTGCCCACCCGCCCTGTCACCCCCAGCCTGGTGAGATCAAGTTACAGCTGAGCTCTCTGGGCAACTGCCCGAGTATGTCCATGGCCACTCAGGACAAGAAGGACTGTAGGAGGTCACAGAACAGCAGACCACATCTGCCACAACTGGGTGAGGCTTGGGGGGGGTATGGGGCCCCTTCTGGAGACAGACAGGGTGATGGAGAGACTGCAAGCAGATCCCAGCTCAAATACTAGCTCTCTACCCACTAGCTGTGTGCCTTACACAAGTCACCTGACCCTCTCTAAGCCTTGTTTGTAAGATGGAAGTTATATTAGTACCTAACTCATTGAGTCGTCCTGAAGATCTAACGAGATCATTAATGCAACCAAAGAAAAAAATTTTAACTATTGGGTTTAAGCCAGTTTTAGGCACTGGGAGCATAATAACTGGGTGAACAAGCTAAATGAGGTCCCCAGATGTGCACTGGAGATGATGATGGTGATGATGATGATGATGATGATGTTATAGCTTAAGAAAAGTGATCCAAGGTGTAAGTGAGAGAAACAGTCAGTTAAATAATACCAAACAGAATTCTTTATTGCAGGACTTGTCAGAGCCTTTAGCATGCTAATGTTCACCACGCATCCTTAATGTAGCAGCTGCCAACCTTATTAAGACCCAGGATTCTTTTGGGCAGAACACCTGGGAGTCGAAATTCTTAACCTAGTGTTCCATGCTCTTCTTCCTCTGGGTCTGTCTTGTCTCTCCACTTTCTTCTCCTGCTAAGCCTTTTCCATTGCCACACCCCAGCCCCCTTGAAGTGCTCTTGGATCTTCCCCTTCCCTCATCCCCACTCTCTCTGGCCTGGACGATCACAGTTCTTCCCAGTCTCATCAACTCTCTTCTGCCCCAGTGTGTGAAGCCACCTTGTAGAATGTGACTATGATCAGGCTTTAAAGACCCCTTTTGGATGATTTAAAAGAAAAAAAAAAAACCTGACAATATCAAGTGTTGGAGAAAATGTGAAGCAACTAGAACTCTTATTAATTGCTGATGGTGATGCAAAATAGTTCAGCCACTCTGGAAAATGGATCGGAACTTTCCCATAAGGGCGCTTGGGTGGCACAGTTGGTTAAGCCTCTGACTCTTGGTTTCAGCTCAGGTCGTGATCTCAGGGTTGTGAGATTGAGCCCTATGTGCAGCTCCATGCTCAGCGCAGAGTCCACTTGAGATTCTCTCTCCCTCTGCCCTTCCTGCTCTTGTTCTCTCTCTTTCTCAAACAAATCTTTTTTTTTAAAGATCTTATTTATTTAGATGAGAGAGAGAGAGAGAGAGCACGAGTGGGGGGGGAAGGCCAGAGAGAGGGAGAAGCAGAGTCCCCTCTGACCAGGGAGCCCGATGTAGGGCTTGATCCCAGTACCCTGGGATCATGACCTGAGCCAAAGGCAGATGCTTAACCCCCTGAGCCACCCAGGCACCCCTCTCTCAAATAAATCTGAAAAAAAAAAGAACTTTCCTATAGTTAAACATACACTTACCATGTGACTTAGCTATCCCACTATGAGTAGTCATCCAAGGGAGATGAAAAGATGTATGGGCACATGAAAACCTGTACATGCCCACAGCATGGAGAAAACATTTGCAAATCATATATTTGATAACTTACTAATCTCCAGGATATATCTAGGACTCCCACGAGACTACAATAAAAAGACAAATCGCCCAAATAAAAAAAAATGAGCAAAGATTTGGGGAGGGGATGAATAGATGGAACACAGAGGATTTTTATGGTAATGATTTTTTTTTTTAAGTAGGCTCCACACCCAGCATGGAGCCCAGTGCAAGGCTTGAACTCACAATCCTGAGATCAAGGCCTGAGGTGAGATCAAGAGTCACATGCTTAGCCAACTGGGCCATCCAGGCGCCCCTACGGCAGTGAATCTATTCTGTATGATACTGTAATGGTGGGTACATGTCATTATATATTTATTCAAAACTATAGAAGGTACTACACCAAGAGTGAACTCTAATGTCAACTTTGGATAATATGATGTGTCAATGTAAGTTCAACACTTGTAACAAAGGCACCAATCTAGTGGGGGAAGTTAATAGTGGGGGAAGCTGTGGGTGTGTGTGGGCAGGGGCACATGGGAAATCTCTGTACCTTCTGCTCCATTTTGTTGTGAACCTAAAACTGTTCTAAAAATAAAGTCTATTAAAACAAAACAGAACAGGTAAAGGATTTGAGGAGACATCTCTCCAAAGAAGATATACAAATGGCAAATAAGCATATGAGAAGATGTGTAACATCATTCATTAAGGAAATGCAAACTAAAACCACAATGAGATACCAATTCAAACCCACCAGGATGCCTATAACAACAAAGACGGACAATAGCAAGTTGTTGGCCAGGATGTGGAGATACTGGAACCCTCATACACTGCTGGTGGGAATGTAAAATGGGGCAGCTGCTTTGGAAAACAGTTTGGCAGGTCTTTAAAAAGTCAAACATAGAGCGCCTGGGTGGCTCAGTCAGTTAAGCGTCTGCCTTTGGCCCAGGTCACGATCCCAGAGTCCTGGGATCGAGCCCCACATCAGGCTCCCTGCTCCGCGGGAAGCCTCCTTCTCTCTCTCCCACTCCCCCTGCTTGTGTTCCCTCTCTTGCTGTGTTTTTCTCTGTGTCAAATAAATAAAATCTTTAAAAAAAAAAAAGTTAAACATAGTTATCATATGACCCAGCAATTTTCACTCCAAAGTGGAGAGAATTGAAAATATATGTCCACATAAAGACTTGTATGTGAATGTTCATAGCAGCATTATTCACAATAGCCCCAAAGTAGAAAAAACTCAAATGTTCATCAATGGATGAATGGATAAAGAAATTGTGGTCCATTCATTCAACGGAATATTATTCAGTCATATAAAAGGAATGACGCACTGATGCACGCCGCAACGTGGATGAGCCTTGAAAACACCATGCTGCGTGAAAGCAGTCAGACACAAGAGGCTACATAGTGTGTGATTCCATGTATATGAAACATTCAGAGTAGGCAAATCCATAGAGGCAGAAAGCAGATTTAGTCATTGCTAAATGGGGGCTGGGGCAGGGGGATGGGGAATGACAGCTCAAGGGGGTGGAGTTTCCTTCTGGAGTGATGAAAACGTTCTGGAACTAGATATCGGTGATGGTTGCACAACTCTGTGAAGGTGATAAATCTCACTGAACTGCGCACTCTAAAGGGTGACTTTTATGGTATGTGAATTATATCTTCATTTTTAAAAATACCTGTACATGAAGAGTGATAGCGACTTCATGCATAATTACTAAAAACTGGAGACAACACAAATGTTCTTCACCTGGGACATGGTTAAACAAACTGGGGTCCTTCCATACGATAGACTACTACTCAGCTATAAAACGGAATTAACTACTGATATACACAAAATGAATGAACCTCAAATGTGTTATGCTAACTGAAAGAAGCCAGACTCAAAAGGCTACCTACTGGATGATTCCATTTATATGACATACTCAAAAGGACAAAATTATAGGGACAGAAAACAGATAAATGGTGTCCAGGGGCTGCAGATGGGGGAACAAGGGAATCTTAGGGGTGATGAAACTGTTCTATATTTTGGTTGTAGCATTGGTTACATGGCTGTATTCATTTGTCAAAACTCATAGACCTGTACACCAAAAAGAGTGAGGGTTTTTTTGCATGTAAATACATTTTTAAAAATGAAAACGATAAGAAAACTAATTAGCAAAGCCCTCCTTACTCCCCAGTGCCTCATGGTTGAAGTCCAGGTTCCTATGCTTGACCCCATCAGGCACTCTGTGATTTGGTTATGTGCTCCCCCTCCCCCCCCACCACCCATCAACAATTAGTTTACTGGGCACCTAATGTGTGCCAGGCGCTGTCCTAGGTCCTGATAGTACAAAAGCAGTGCTCTCGTGGAGCTCACGTTCCGGTGGGCAAGCAATCAAATAAACACATAATTAGTCAGGGGTGCTAAGTTCCAGGAAGAAAAACAAAACAGGGCAAGGATATAGAGAGAGAAGAGGTTAGGCTAAATAGGTTGGGCCCTCCCAACCTATTGGTTGCCCCCTGATGAAACGATATTTGAGTAGTGACTGAAGGGAATTGAGGGAATAGTGAGTGGAAAGGGAGTTCTTGGCAGTGGGAAGAGCAAGTGCAAAGGCCCTGAAGCTGGAGTAAGTTTGACACCGTTGGAGGAGGGCAAGGTGGTGGTGCTGTGTTGGAGCTCAACAAGCACTAATTACAATTAGTAAGCTTCTGCTCATGTCCGTCAGCCACCAGAGGCTGCCTCTCTGACACCCAACTCCAATCATGGGATTTTTTTCTTTTTTGCATGTCCAAGAAATCATTTTTCATGGTATAAATAAATTAACTTTATCTTTGTATGGATAAATCCCAGCTTTATTATGATAAATAATATGCAATAATATCCTCTTAGTAATATAGGATAGAGAACTTAGAATCATAATGACAGTACGGTGTTTCAATATTATCAGGGGAAAACAAATCAAAACAACAATGAGATATCACTGTCAGGATGGCTATTATCAAAAAAACAAAAGCCGACAAGTGTTGATGAGGACGTAGAGAAATGGCAACCCTGTGCACTGTGGGTTGGAATACAAAATGGTGCATCCACTATGGAAACCAGTATGGAGGTGCCTCGAAAAAATAAAAATGGGTCTCCCATAGGATCCAGTATACATCCAGAAGAATTGAAATCAGGATCTCCAAAGAAATATTAACACTCCTATGTTCATTGCAGCATTACTCACAATAACCAAGATATGGAAACAACCTAAATGTCCTTGGATGGATAAAAGGATAAAATAGGGCATATACACACAATGGAAGAA